CCCTCCCTCTCTCTCTGTATATATCTGGTAAAATTAAAATAAATTAATGAATAAATAAAATTAAATAAAAATTATTTTTAAGAAGTTAACATACTTAGTATTAACAGATTATTTTCTTCCTTTGTTCCTTCCTTCTTTCCTTTCCTCCTTCCTTCCTAACTCCTAGAATATGTTTATGTCCGTAAAATAATATATAATTTGGTAATAAAAAAAGATAGCGAGCCCAAAATAGAAAGTTTGTTTAATTTGAGGAACTACAGACAAGGAGAGAGAATATTGTAGGTTTAAGGAAGATTCCTAAATGACATTTATTCTTTTTTTATTCAGCACATATTTATGGGGCATTTATTAAACATTTGAAGCACTGTACTAGGTGCTAGTTTCTGATTTCAAAACAACATATTTCTATAACACATACCTGAGACCGCGTTTCAAATGTCTTAGAAGCATTCTATCAAAGCTACCTCTATCTTTACAGTAGCTAATTCTGGTCTATTGCAAATCGCTTATAAAGATGAAAGACACAATCACATTAGGAAATCTCTTGATACTCACAAAATGCAGAATAATTTCTTAGAAAATTGATAGAACAGCTATGTGTCTTGAACAATGTCTTAGTTTGTCTGATAGCACCACTGGGAATCTTAGAGACACAAGGGTCTGGAGGGTGCAGAGAAGCCAACTTTGTTTTTCTCTCTCTTTGGGGGATTCCTCCCTCCGCCAATAGGGTTAAAGATATATTTTGGTTCCAAAGGGCTGGAATCTTGACCCAACTGGGATTAGTGTCCAATGTCAGTCTATTGGCCTCTTGAGAGAGTGGCTGCTTATGACAGCTCTCAGGAGGCTCAAGTCTACCAGGATCCAGTCAAAACCCACCTCTCCTTAGAACAAATCCAAACCTTACCTCAGTGTGACTTAAAAGAGTTGTCTGAGACCCTATCCCAGATCTTCTCAAACTGCTTCTCTAGAGGTGGATCAGATGATGCCTACAAGTCCAGAGTTTGAAAAGTACTGTCTATGACTGAACTCAGATCTGCTGTGGATTTCCGTGCCCATTAAAAAATACAAAGAGACCAGCTGTGCTGGTACAGCAGGAACACAAAACTCCAGAAAGCTGAGACCACAGGAGAAGATCAGGGGTTTGTGACCCAAGATCTCCCTACGTACGCTGAGTGGGCATGCACAGACGCTGTGACTGTGGTTGGCTGAGGCTGGCGGTGGATTGTGCTAGGAAGACTCTGGTGAGGTACTCCCCTTCCTTTCTCATGGAAGAAATAAATAAATTTAAAAAGTACAGAGAGCTGGGACTTTATAATTCAGGACTCTACTAGGCTGGAAAGAATTCCTGTGACCAGTTTCAGTTTATGCTGAGGTTTTTAGAACTTATTTAAATTGGATTCTAAGATTAGGCATATGAACAGAGAAAGTTGCCATTCATCTCATCTTTAATTTAAGGATCATTGCTTTCATTTGTCCTTGGTAGGTCAACCCAATTAATTTGTCTCCTGGAATTAGCAGTTAAGTCATAAGATAATCTAGGAGAAAAGGTGTGTGTGTGTGTGTGTGTGTGTGTTTGTAATATATATATATAAGTATATATATAAAATCTATTATATGTTATATATCTATAACATATAATATATTATATATGTATATATTTATAATATATAATATGTATATGTATGTATATATATTCTTAGCAGATCTTACTTTACAGGACAAAACACATCTAGAAAAGGTAGACTTTTCCTGGGAGAAACAAAGTAGCTTTAAAATAAAAATAAATGGAAAAAATTTTAACCAAATAATTAAGTCTTTTAGATGTATGCATTATTTCAGGCAGAAAGATTTTTTTTTCCTACCCAATGTCTGAATTTTATTATTATTTACCAGTTTTCATGATTTTTAAATCTCTTATGTGTATTTATTTATTCAATATTATTTATTGAGTAATTTCATTTTGGCAGGAAGATATCTGAAAATTTATTATGTAAACTTGCAGATTTTAACAATTGGAGAAAAATGGTAGAACAGAGCAGGAGAGACAAGCACAAGACTGTACGCGTTCACACCTCTCTTGATTCTGACGATTCACTTTCGATTTAATCACTTGGGTATTTCTTAGGGATTCTTCCTTCACTAAGGAGGAAATTGGACTCCACTAAATTCCTTTATGGAGGAAGAAAACGGAATAGTAGACGTGTGTTTCAACAACTACTGCCAATGTTCTGAAAATACTAATTCGCTTTCAGTCAGATGACCAAGGTTGGTTTGCCTTCTATCCAATTGATTAAAAGCTGAAGCTTTAAAAACACATTCCGTAAATCCTTAGAAATCTTTTGTGAAGACAAATTCAGTGTTTTTAAGGAGTGATCCTTTGCTCTCATGATTCAGGGCACAGAGACGTTTCCCAGCCTTCTTGAATTAGGATGAGTGTTGATATTCAGTTTTTAAGACAAACCCATGTGAAAGTTTCATCGTACTGAGGGGACCCAATGGGCTGCCTTTTCCTGACAAAAAGTCTCACATGCTTCATTTACTGTAAACTCATTCTTAATGCAACTATAGGGGTGTGTGTGTGTGTGTGTGTCTGTGTGTACGAGGGGACTCAAAAACACTTGTGAAAAAATGGAATTATATATGAGTTAATTTTGGTGCAAACATTGAAATCTATGCATAGTTTTTCTCTGATATGTGTTTTTTTATGAACGTTTTGAAGCTGTATACATATATATGTGCATGTATGCACACACACACACACACACACACATGCATACACAAATATATATCTGATCATTGAAAAACACAGTCATCCTTGAGTCACAAGATCTCTCACAGAAACTTAGGTGACTCAGCTAAAAATAGTTCAATTCAAGCTCAATGGCTCTTCTCAAGGGTTTCGAAAGAACTTCAGTCTATCAGGTGGCACCTTAGCTAAACGTATCAACTAGCTAGTTGCTTAGAGCTCCTTTATACTCTTTGCATTCCCTGTCCTCACCCCATTTTCTTGGGGATTCTGTTTACTCAAGGATTCCTTCGTTGCTCTTCAGCAAGCATTGCTTTAGGACTACTGGTGATTCAACTTAGGTTTAATGCACCACCATTTCCAAGCCATGAACTGAGATTTCTGCTGCTACATATGTCCATGTTCTTGTCAATAAGACATCTCTTTCCCAGCCTGTGATGATGGGTCAGATGTTACTATAGCTTATACCATGTGTTGGGAGCCAAAGAGTGGCAGTGTCTGAGGAAGGCTTCACACAGGCAGACGGGTAGACAGACATTCCATCAATCCATTAGCATGGGGCCTGCTATGTGCAAGGCTCACACCATGCTATGTTATGTCAAAGTCTCACAGAAGCCCACAGCCATTGCAAACTTTGCTGCTCTTAGAGCAAGGAAAACATTTTTGTGCACTCAGCCTTTGTGAGAAGACCTACGTCTTTCACCTTGTTCTATGAGTTCTCCAATCATGAGTGTTTTGTTTGGTTGGTTGGTCATCCATGCTAAGATACTTCCTTTCTAGGATGCTGTGTAAGACAAAGAAACTCAGTGAGCTGGGTCAGAAATAGACAGCTGCTATTGCTTTCATTAGACTCTCTTCTCCAGGATGAAAGGAACAGTACAGGCTTATGGCCACAGACTCCAAGGATGACTTCAGGGTGTGGACAGGGCACAGACAAGAGCCTAGTTTGAGAGCTATTTTGTGCAAGGGAGGACATGGAGGACCCAGAATGACCATGCATTATCTGCTCAAAGTCTGTTGCTACAGGGACAGGACCTTGCTCAGATAGCTCATTTTGGGTAACCATATAAAAAGAAAGTAGAAAATGACGTATAGCTGAACAAATGAAAAGCTAAGATATTCCCACCTTTGGGAAAAAGAAATTTGTGCTGTTTTTAAGAAGTTGGGACTTCTATGTATAGAACAATTCAAGAATAATATATTTACAATTTGTGTGGCCTTGATTAATGAAGCTTATTATTCACATAGAAATGAAAATCATTCCACTTTGGAGGCACGTTGTGCTGACAGTGTTTTGGGGACAAACAATACGATCAGTTATGCAAACAGTAAGAGGAGAACCAAGGCCAGGGCGCAGCTGCTCAGCTGGGCCAATGATGCCGTACTGGTTGGGCTCTTAAGCATGCACATCACCCTGGACCAGGACCCGTTGTTGGGCAGCGGGGTGATGCCAGCCACGCTACACATGACGTTGTAGACATCCACTGATCTGATTGGAGCGGCTCTGAAGTTGGATTTGAAATCTGGAAGGGAAAGGCAAACAAGCTTGATTACTCATCGGAGAAAGAGGGGCTGAATCACAGTATGAAGGAATTATACTCAGGACCCAGACAACTCTGGGATTGGGAAATCAACTCCATCCTTGGAATCTGACCAAGTGATTGTGAACATAGAAGAGTATCTGAAAGGCTACGGGTTATGAAAGGAAATATGGGATGTGTTTCTTTCAAAGACAAGTCAGCAAGCAGGCTTTCTCTAGACAGAATGGTGCTCTTCTTGCGACAACAAATCTTTCCTGGAGGGATAAAAAGACTGTCCGAAGCGACTCTGTTTCTGCAGAGCACTGGAGAGCCAACACAAAGAAGACTGTTTTGCTGGGCTCCCCTTAATCATGTTAAATGGTATGCTTGTCTTCCAGAACACTGATCTAACTGGGTACCGATTTCTACTGCAGTGGCCCCACAGCAATTCAAGAACGTTCCCCGTTTTCCTTTCTCATCCAGGTGACAGCTCTTGAGGGAATGTGAAACTATGAAGTTTCCTTGGTGCTAACTGGCTCAGCAGCAACAGCAGTGGTCTCCTAAATGCATTTGGGAGATTCGTCGGGGAGCCCTTCACCGATAAATAAAATAAGTGAGCCATGTGGAAAATGAGCCAACTGGTATTTTGCAGTAAGGGATCTGAGTGAAGCTCTGAGAGACCGAATGGAGGAGAGCATTGTTTCTCATCCCAGAACCTGTACCAAACTTGAACAGTAATGCAGGAATATGAAGGCAAGTCTGGCCATTCATAGTCTAATAGGGGAGAGGCACTAACAGTGACTTGGTAAGTATTTGGATTTAATCAAGTGGGTTCACCTTTCCCTTCTCTAAGGAGGCAAAAAAGATGTTGAATGCAAAACACTTATCCAGTTTAGGCCCCAAACAATAGAGTCCAACAAAATACCCAAAGCGATAATAAGGCTAAATTCAGGGAGGAGATTTTAATCTATCAATAAAATTGTGCTTTCAGTTCATTTTAAACTTTAAAAAAATGGGTAGTTTGGGGGCTATAATGCCAAATTTTCTTAGGAAAAAAAAATCCTTGTAAGTGCTTTGCTAAAATGATCACATACATTTTATTTAAAAAGCAAACGAACATAATAGATATGTATTACTGAAATAACAGCACCAATTCTGATCCTGTATTTGCCCTGGAATTACAAATACAGAAGAAAGTTATATACAGGAAACTATCACACAGTATGTTAGCTTTAGGGTAATTTCCCAAGTGATGAGTTTTGCTCCCTTGGGGGAATTCAAGCTGAATTCAGTGTGAAGAGGTGCATGGACCACCAGCCTATGCCCACTTTCTAGCTGGGGAACCTCGGGAAATGCATGTGAAATGGCACCCAGGCCACAGTTCCAGACACACTGTTACATGCTCAGCAACAGTTAGCTATTATTATTGATAAATAAACATTGTGTGTGTGTGTGTGTATATATATATATATACTCTGCAGAACAATATTTGGATACCACTTACCTCTGAGGCAGTTCTTTTGGAAATTATAAATATATTTCTTTCTGGGGATGAAAAGAATACACATCAAAATGAAAGATTAAGTGTGGAATCTGAATTCACAGCTGCTTTATGCAATCTGAAAGGAGTGCAGGCTTTCTCATTTTAGTTCACTTCTCAAAGCTTTGCAGAGAGAAGCCTAAAATGATGCATTTGAATTTTTTTTATATTCTTCTCTTGTCTGGCTGTGTAAATGATTGCAATCAGTCAGACTTTCTTTGTGCAAAAAAAAAAAACCATGAAATTACAATATGAAATTTTTTCATATGTAATTTTAGTTATACAGTGGGAAATGACTGACAACTTAACAGTGTCCCTTGGTGGCAACTGTGTGATGTTATTTTTGGAAAAAAAAAAACTTTTACTAAGAAAAATTAATTTAAAATAAGTTGATTTTTTAAGACTTTGGGACACAATTTTAACGGACACAAAATGATGTTCAGAGTCTATTACTTTACATTTTTAGAAATTTATATTATTTAATGATACTATTTAGATATGCTAAAAACCTCCATAATAAGCACAGGAAACTATAGCAAAAATAAATGATCTATTTTATAGTAGTTTATAAAATATAAAAAGTTTTAGGAAAGTATCATTGCCTATTGCAAAAATGTTACACTAATTGCAATATGACTTTTAAATATTGGAAAAATAATTATTTTTTATTAAAAAAAAAATTCAATGTCAGAGTGGATTATAACCAAGCTCTGATGTGTATCCTGCCATTTATAAAGACGTTTACTATGTTCACTGGAGGTTTTGTAGTTTCTATGGAACTAATCTAAGCATATTATGGTTTTACTTGATTAAAAAATGGGCTGAATTCTAAACTGTAAATGTGAGATATTGAATAAAATTTTCCCCTTTGAGTCAGCACTTACACTAAGAAACTTAATTTTCAAAAAAGTTAGCTTAAGTGTTATAATCAAATATACAGAGTTTGTATGTCCCTTCTGCCTAAGATGAATAGTTTTTCTCCTGGGTCGTAAGATGAAAAAAAAATCTGTAGCAATGATGAAGTATAATTAATTAAAAGATGACATTGTTCAATGATATTTGTAAAATAAATTCAGATATTTTTAGAGATATTTCTGCTATTTACTAATCAAAATTTGCCTGCCCCAAAATACCCTCAAAAACTGTTCTATATAGTTAGAAAAAGTGTATTTTAAACATTCAGTCACCTTGTTTTGATTTGCCTCCCATGTGCCAGCTATGAGTCACATGCTGGGTCATGAGTGGATGTCTCAAAGAACAGCATCTTTGCTGTCCCGTCATGGCTTTTCCATGGCTGTAGTGTTTGCATGTGAATTTATAGGGATAGCAACAATAAGCCTGCATTGAATACAATTACAACTATGGTAAGTGCTACTTATAAAATGTAGACAATAGAAGAGACAGAGAGTGGAGCTGGCTAATATTAACAAGGTGCTTTCTCTGAAGAAGTAACATTTCACATGAGACTGAGTTGTGAGAAGAAACTAGCTACACACAGAGAACAGAGAAGAGGGTTCCAGTTAAGGGCACCAACAGCACAGGTATTCGGTAAAAGGGAAGAAGAGCCTCTATGGAGAGGTGTTCATTAACCTGGTCTAGGCAGACCAAGAGCATTTTAGTCTCAGTGTGGCATTTGGATTTTACCTTATGTAGGATATATATATATAAATATATAAACATTGTGTATATATATAAATATATAAACATTGTGTGTATATATATATATATAAATACGTATGTATAAAATTGGATCCCTTTCTCTCTCTACACAGAGAGAGAGAGAGAGAGAGAGATGGATAAAAAGCTAATTGTATAATAAGTGCCCAGCAAGCCTAAACTATGAATTTAAAATATTTGTCTTATAAATTATTTGGAGGGTTCATTTTTCTACAGGGTAGGGAAGATAAAGGTCAGCATCACATCACAGTAAAAATTAATGACAAAAAATTCAGAACCTGTCTAGAGAGTTGAATATAGGGGTTGCGCTAGAAGCCCAATATCAAGGCAAATTAGACGATTTACACGTGTTTGGTGGTTGCACCTCCCAACAGAAGAATAAGCTGCAGGAGCCAGATGGAGGCTCAATAGTGACACAACCAGACTCACATGGGAAGGTCCTGGGTTCATGTCCCAAGGCCTCTCTGTACACACTAGGTACACAATAGCCTGTGATCTGCTGGCTGAGGCTGGGAGTGGATCACTATGTGAAGTCCCTGCTAAAGTGACTTTCTCTCTCTTTCTCTCGCCTTTTTATAGAAGAAATAAGCAAATAAATCTCTTCCCCCCCCCTACATTTCTGCCATAGGGCACATACATTCACTGGAGAGAGACAGAAACTGAGAAGGAAAGTGAGAACTCAACCCCCAGGGGAGATGGCCATGCCACAATCCCATCTCCAGATGGCCATGCCACAATCCCATCGCCTCCACTGTCCCCCTGGGATTCTGGACACACACACACACACACACACACACACACACATGTGCCTGGTGTGATTCTCAAGTTGCCAGGTCCAGGACTCAAACCATGGTCAGCCATGTGGGAGTCTAGCACCTCCACTACCATGGCACCTTCTGGCCCAGTAAATAAAATCTTTAAAGGAGCAGAAGAATCATCTGCCACATTAGAAACAGTGGAAAAGCTGTCCCAGCAATACGTAAGCAACTCCTCTCTCTCCTTCTAACTTGCCATACGACCTGGGTGTTAGCCTACCTATCTTGTATGTGGGTGGTGGGCCATAGTAAAACCAGGTGTCTTGCCTAAGCTTTTTTTTTTTTTTCTACAGGGTGCATGTACTCGCCAGAAAGACAAAGCGCGACAGAGAGACAGAAAGTGAGAAATCATCCCCCCCGGGGGGGGATGGCCATGCCACAATCCCTTCTTCTCCATTCTCCCTCCCGGAATCTTTGGGGCACGCATGCACGTGCGCCCAGTGTGAGTTTAAGCCACCAGGTCCGGGACTCAAACCACGGTCAACTACATGGGAGTCCAGAAACACAGCCATTATGCCATCTGCTGGTCCTTTGCCTTAGCCTTTCAAAAACAATTTATTTTTTTTAACACTTCACTGGAAAAATTTCAGATTGAATTTTTTTTGAGAAGTGGTTTTTAAAAATTGAAAGTGCAAAATCTAATCCTGTGTAGGAAGGAGAGTTGGGTTTTCTTTCCCATCCCATCTAATTCATATCTTCCTATTCTTTAGGGATGAGACTTTGAGTCTAATGCAGTGATGATCTAGGCTGGAATGAAAGCTTCTAGAAAATTCCAGAAGAGCAAAACTGATGCCTGATCCAATTTGAGAGCACCCAGAAAAGATCAAGATGACATTTTGAACCTGGATTGAAGATCCAAACTACTCCCGTGAGTTTAAACTTTTTTGATATTAAAAATGTGTCTCCTACAGAGAGAAGGTTCTGCAGGCTCACGCTGTGTCTGGCCACCTTGGGCTGCTTTCTGAGTGAGGTTTGCTAGCTTGTAGGCAGCTCAGTGAATCACACTCCTGCTGTCTTATCTGGAATGTGGAGTTCTCCAGGGCAAGATTAGGTTGTTCAAATTAGAAACTGGGATTAACCAGAGAGAGGCTATCTTCTAGAATTATTTCCCTTTCTCTTGGCTGCCCCAGACTCACTGACTTCTAAGGCTATATCTGGGCAGCTGCAATGATGCCCAGCTTCCTCCCTAAGCAAGATGCACATACAATTAATCAGGAGGGATGCACCTTTATCTCAAAGTGCAGCTAGATAGCTATTAAAGGCCTCGCTCTTAAATTTTTGTCTGAGTAAACAGTCAGTGTGTAAAGCTGTTCAATCTTTCATGAGAATTGGAGCCAGAAACGTGATGGTTTGTGGGAGGCTCTCAGAGCTGTATCTGCTGGAAACATTTTGCAATTAGCCCAGTCTATTTTCGTCAGGGGTCTTGTTTCTGTCTATAAAACACCGAGGGCTTTTCGTTTTAAAGAAGGATAGGTTGGAGGGCTCTGTTAATGGACAAAATGTGCCCCCGTGAATCAAAGTCCAATTCAGTGGGTACTTTATTTAGAAATTTTGGTTCAGGGCTAGATTTGGTTCTGCTTCGAAATAAGCTTGTGACTGTTGCTGGTGTACACTCCTTCAGCAAACGTTTTGCATTCATGCTCTTACTTCCCTTTTCTGGTGAAGGAGGAGGCAATGCTCATAAAGGAAAGCCTGTTGACTAGTGTCCTCCCATGTAGAGGCCATGGCTCTAGAATGTCTCCAACAGAACCTGGCAGTTGGCCTCGGCAGCATCCTTGAGGCTCCATTCCTCATTCCATTGGCCTTTGAGTGCTGCGTATCTGAGCTGGGCCTGGCTGACAGGGAGCTCCTGACAACCATTATGGGTTAATGGCAGCACGCTCGGGCATCCGTGGAACTCCCTCTTAGGCCAACATCATGAACTAAGTTGGTGCTCTATAAATATGTTGCTACTGGTTCTGATGCTCACAATTGGGCTTAGAAACTTGGCCCACATGTGGGAAAGGATTTGGATCAATATACTCCTAAACCCAGGCTCCCAGAGGCACCTGCAGAGGTTGCAGAAACTGACACCTCATAGTTCTTAACAGATATGGTGTGGTAGAGTGAACCAAGGAAGTTGGAATGAGATGAGGTGATAAATATCTTTGGTCTTGCTATATTGAAGAGAAGAACAGAGCTTTTACGTGTGATGTCTGATCTATAATTTGAAAGGAAAGCATGGACTCCTGTGGGTTGAAACATTTGATCAACTTTTTGGAAAAAAAAATGGGAGGGGGTCAGCAGGTGGTATGGTGGTTGAAGCACTGGGCATTCCCACATGGCTGACCAAGGTTCGAGTCTCAGACCTGGTGACTTGCTTTCTCACTTTCCCTCTCTCTCTTTGTATCTCTCTCTGGTCAAATTAAAATAAAAGAATGAATAAATAAAATTTTTTTAAAAAGTATTGGGAATATAGACCACGGGTAAAGAAAGGAGCGTGGGTGGACAAGTATAAGAAAGTAGAGTAGATCATGATGCTCCAAATGACAGTTGATGGCTACTGAATACTTGTTTCCTTTTTTTTTTTTTTTTTTTCTGAATGGAGATGTTCAGGCAACAGTATGATCTTCAGAGCATTTGGTAGGATTTTCCAAAGTGTGAATTTACAGTTCTCTGTCAACTGAATCAACTGACCAATGAGGCCCTCTCTATCTCCCCTCTCTTCCAGCTCTAGGAATAATCTGATCAGGAAGGCACCGCAAATTTACTTTCAACCAAGTCATCCCTAGCCATTCTGGCTCATTCTCAAAGTCAGTTTCAAGGTTATTTCCAAGCCTGCCCTTGAGCATACATTCTAGCTTCTGGTTGGGCTCTAAATGGAAAGACCCCATAGCAGTGGGGGCTCTGGACAGGAGGATTGTGGAGAAGTCAGACCCCATGAAGCAATCACACCAACTTCCAGACTCACAGCTGTCAGCAACCTGGTGTCTGATAAGCTTTTCTGGACATCAGATAGCTGTGAAATAACATTTTGATGAATTAAGTAAAAAATGAATCACAAACATGTGGAATACATTTTCTTCACTGCACTCAGGATTTAAAATTTACAAGGAAAAGTATTTGGCTCCATTTGCCGAACCCACGAAGCATTTGAAAGGAAGCCAGCAAAAGATGTTTCATAGAGACCAGCTGGATTTGCTCAGCTTTGCTCATAAAGAGGGTCCATAAAGAAGTCACTTCAGCCTTAACCAGCACCCTCAGCCCCTACTAGAGATGCCTCCCCGATTTGGTAATCGCCTAGCCTACCAGGTCCAAAGGCCAGGAAGATGCCCCTCATGTCCATGAGCTCGTTGTCATATCCATGCCATCCATGCTGCCAGCCTTCCCTCTTGCCGGTGGTGCTGTTCATCCAATATGGAAGCATCTCTCGACTCTGAAAGCAAACAAGGCAATTACACTGTGCTGTCTCAACAATGGGAATAAATGGCCATCTAGTCTGAACTGCCACCAGTGTGGGATTTCTTCCCCACTGGGGTCATCCAACCTCATCTGGTTCACTTCCTGCTCTAGGTAGCTCAGACCGTTGGCAGCAGTCTATTAACTTGCTAAAGAGCTCCAGTTAAGAAGACGTTTTCTTATATTGAGCTGAGCTATATCTCATAATCAGTTTTAGAGTCACTAAATATAGCATGTTAGAAACAGAAGGGATGTTAAAGTGTATCTCTGGTATAATGAAAAAGTATGTTTGGTCTTTGTCCCAGGTTCTTGAAATAGAGCTTATAAACCCTTGGAATTTCCTGAGTGATAGGACTGTCTTTTGTTATTCATGAGTCTCTTTCTCCCATACCTGAGTCTATGCTAATGAAATGAGTCATAGTGTTGGATGGAGGGGAGTAGGGTAGGCTGGATAGCTTCAGGATGGGGGCTGGAACCAACCACATGTTAGATGGTTGAAACTTTCAGCCCCATCCCAAGTGTGAAGGAGAGAGGGACTGGAGACTGAGTTCAGTCATGTGACCAATGGCCTAATCACTCATGCCAACAAAATCCCATAGAAAACCCCAGAACAGCATGCTTTAGAAGCTTCTAGGTTGGTGACTAGATTGACATGTGGGTAGAGTTGTGCAACCAAAAGAGAGAACGGGAGCTCTGTGCCCCTCATCTCCCTTCTTGTACTTTGCCATACTTCTACTTTTCTGTCTGGATATGTTCCTGGGCACTCTCCTTCACAATAAAACTGTAATTTTAAATAAAATATTTTCCTGAGTTCTGTGAGTCACTGAACCTGAAGAGTGGGTATATGTGAAAACTTTCACATTTCTAGTCAGATCAGGCACAAGTACTGGTAGCCTGAGGATCTGGGACTTGTGGCTGGTATCTGAAGTGGAGGCAGTCTTGTGGGACTGAGCCCTTACCCCATGAGGTCTGCTGTAATTTTGTTAAGTAACTGGGCCATAAGAAAACCAAAGTGACTCCATTTTGCATTTAGCCTTAGAGCCCATCTGAATAAGATTACCTTTAGGAAAAATCAGTCCTTAACTTCTGTCTTTCACTTCCTTCATGATGAACCAACCTTACAGAGCCTAACCGTCACCTCCCTCACAGTGGATCTAGGCTAACATCTAACTAATGAAAGTTAATAATAACTTTGTTGAGGCTTCACAGATACCAGGATCTAGAGATAGGGAGGAGGAAGATACCACCAGCTCCCTCCCCCTCCTCCATGACCAGCTGAGATTATATCAGCTTAAACACTGCAAAGCAAACACATGAATCCTTGCTGCTTCTCCTTACATTTTTCCTTTAAAAAAACCTTTGATAACCTGTAACTTGGGAGATGATCCTGGGACACTAGTCTGTCATTTTCCAAGTTGCTGGCCTCCTGAATAAAGCTAGTTTTCCTTTCCACTCATACATGTCTCTTGAGTATTGGCCATTGAGTGGTAAACTGCTGAACTTAGATTTGGTACTGGGGTTTCAGTTGTAGATATTAGTGTCAGAACTGAATTGAATTGTAAGACCTCCAGGTGATGTCACAAAATTGTTGTTGGAACACAGTGTCTATCTAATCACCTCACTTTACTGGCAAAGTAGGTGAAGCCCAGAGGGATCCACTTGCTATCAACCCAGGTCCCTTTCTACAAATACATACCACTCCTGCCCTTCGTTTCTTCTGTCTCTCCCCTCAGGAGCAACTCAGAATAAGTCAGTCTCCTCTCCTCCATTTGTTTAGGAGACAGCATTAATGCTTGTCTTTTGCAGGTCTTGTATAGCTTCATTTCCCTCAACCATTTCTCATTTGGGATGGGTCCTAGAATCATTACTTTCCAGAACCAACCTTATCACTTTGTCTACTTTAGAACTTTTTTTTTTTCACTATAGATACTCACTTGCTGTGAAACAAATAGTTTAAAGGTTTCGTGAGCTCTAAGGAGGCTGTGTCCAGTCAAACACAAGCCATTCACTGCAGACCAGCCATTCATTCCTGATATTCCAACCCTCTTCTTGCTAAGCAGGATTTAATAATACAAATGTTTCAAATGTAGGAGGTAAAACTGACTGATCATGATGAGTAAGTGGAATCAAAACAGCTAAACTCCCAGCAGTTTACAGGGTGACTCCCAAGACTGATCATAGATGCGTATATTTAATGAGCCGTAAACTCCACCAAGAGCCAACATGACCTTCATTTCATCCTCGCAACATTGCAGTGGGGATGGTAGTATTTTTTTGTAGTTGGAGGAGCTACAGTACAGAGTTAAGTGGCACTCTTAGAGTCATGCAGATAGTGAGAGATAGGGCTGAGACTGGAACTCAAGTTGTCTGTCTCCTGGCCACTACCCCACAGCCAGAGGTCATTGCTGTGCTCCTGCTGACCCTGGGCAGTGAGGTGTCAACTTCTCCTCTGCATCTTGACTCACTGAGTGTGGCCAGATATGAAGTAAAGACATTTTGGAATTGGATGGGTGTAGGATTAAATTCCAGTTACCACACTCTAGCTCTGTGATCCCGGCAAAGCACTTAGCATCTCTGAGTTTCAGTTTATGGGAATCATAACACTCACCTTGCAGGGTGAGTGTTTCTCTGGGCAACTTGTCTTCTTTATAACAACTAGTGGGCTTACCTGTGATCAGACAAATCTCAAAGCACCCTCGGGGCTGAGGTTTTCATGGTTGTATGTGTTTATTTGCAGAATTCAGGCTGTAATTTTTAAGTCGGGCAGTCAGTCTTCACTTGGTGAATGACGTGACTGTGTGCTAAGCACCTGACACACAATAGGTGTTCAATAAATGGCCGCAGTATGATCGCCAGCTGCCACTGGCTGCGGGGCGAGGCGCCCTGGTTATGTGCAGCAGAGCAACGGTGGAGGTGAAGGTTGAACCCTCCTTTGCTTATTTAGCTGTCATATCACATTGCACACCCATCCGGTCTCACCCCATAAATCGCTCCCTCGTATTACTGCTTTCCAAATTGCACGATTTCATTGACTCTCCGTTTCCTGAATCTCCGTCATCCCTCATCCCACCTTCTCCAGCTGTAGCTTGTATTTTTCCATGGGAACGCTTCCTGAACATATAGCATTTCTAGCTTCTCACACTGTTCTTTGTTCTTTATCTGTCTGTGGTGATGATCATAACATGCTCTAATTTAGCTTCGTCAGCGAATTTAACGTGTTGCTTTTTCCTATCTTAGTCCAGGAGACAGCAATGCCTGAAGTGCTAAGTGGAACATTTTTTTTTCTATTAATGACCTTACTAATTATGAACTCCATAGTAAGTGTGTACCCCATGACAAGTGGACAGGTGAAAGGGGCTGAAGACTGCCTGATTTAAAAATCACAATATAAATTCCAGAACTAAACACATGCAACGATGAAAACCTCCACCCTGAGGGTAATTGGGGACCTGTCTAATCACAGGTTAATCCTCTAGGTATTTTACTGAGATGACAAGTTGCCCAGCACAACAACTCTAAGTGCTGATTTAGAAGAAAAACAATGGGGGTGGTCTGGTAGCTTATGGGTTAAGGGAGCTGGGTCTTACATGGCTGACCTCAGGGTTTGAGTCCTGGTCCTGCAGGCTTGTAATACAGCCAGGCGTGTGTACATGCCTGCCCCAGATCTCAGCTGGTTGGAGAAATGAAGGAGAAGGGATTGTGGAATGATCTGGCCCCACTGTGGTGCTTTCTCCCTGTCCTCTCTCCAGTGAGTGTATGCACCATCTGGCAATTAAAAGAAAGAAAAGGAAGGAAGGGAGGGAGGGAGAGAGAAAGAAAGAAAGGGAGAGCAAGAAAGAAAGAAAAAGAAAAAGAGAGAAAGAAAGATAAAGACAATAAATGGGCTGGTTAGGTGAGAGGGGAGACATTCGCTCTAAGTAACTGACTAGATTTCATCCCATGCATGGCCTGAATTTCAGAATGGTGCCCTGATGACTTCTTCCTGGTTCCTCTTCTAGTGGCTGCTGGCATCTCTTTTGTTTTGTTTTGTTTTGTTTTGTTTTGAGAGGTTTTTGCTATAAGGCACGTGTGCTCACCAGAAAGAGAGAGACAGAGAGACAGAAAGTGAGAAATCACCCAACAGGGGGGATAGTCACACCGCAATCCCTTCTCCTCCATTCTCCTCTTGGGATCTTTGGCACACACGCACACGTGCCAGGCATGAGTTTAAGCCACTGGCTCCAGGACTCGAACCACGGTTGACTACATAGGAGTTCAGTGACATAGCCATTACGCTAACTGCTGGTCCCGGCATCTCTGTTTTGTGCCCTGTTGTCCTCTTGCATTAGGCAAGAGGAGTCACAGGCAAGGGTGGAGCGTGGGGTGACCCCACTTGCAGGAGAAGCCTGTGATCCCAGGACCAGTGCACGCAGTTCCACAGACATGCACCGAGCTCTGGATCTGTGTCTACTAGGCTTTTGGGGTCGGGGTGTAAACCTGCCCTCAGGGGTGGTTTACAACTTGCTGGCAAGGAGTGCGTGTCCTGAGCCCAAAGGTCAGACACTGAGGGGAGATGGGGAGGAGCCCTGTGGGGACAATCGGGCATTAGGGACAGGCCTGTGCATATGAGAGTGTGTATACATGGGTGTGAGGATAAGTATATGTGTACACAAGCATGAGAGTATGCACATGTGTATATGTGTGTGAATGCGTGTGTGCATGGACACACACAAGTGTGTACATGTATGTGCTTGTGAGAGCATATGCAGCAAGTATGTGTGAATGTAAATGTGTATGCGTGTGAATGAGTGTATGTATGTGTGTACTTGTGAATACATGTATATGTATGTGTGCTTGTGATTAAATGTGAGTGTGTATGTGTTTGAGTGTGCATGTGTGAGTGTGTATGTGCATGTATGTGTGTGTATGTGCATGTATGTGTGTACTTGTGAATACATGTATATGTATGTGTGCTTGTGATTAAATGTGAATGTGTAT